GCTGGGGCCTGCGCAGAAAAGGCCCTGGCCCTAGTCAAGGCTAACCAGACATCTTTGGGGCCGGGGACAACCAGAAGGTGTTGGTCACTTGAGCGCAACATTCTGCGAGGCAAATATGGGGAGAGAGGGTCCCAAAAATATGCAGGTCCCTGGCTGCATAGGGCTTTAAAGGTTAGCACCAAAACCTTGAACTGGATCCGGTACTCCACTGGCAGCCAGAGCAGCTGGCGCAGCACCAGCTGAATGCGAGCCCACACAGGCTTCACTGTCAGCACACGTGCTGCTGCATGTTGCACTAGCTGCTGTTTCTGGGTCAGGTTCGAGGGCAGCCCTGTGTAGAGCAAGTTAGTTTTGGAAGCAGAGAAAGGACAAGTGGCCAGAGTCCAAACTCTGAGAGGCAGAAGTATGTAGAAGGCATTTCAGTTGTTTCCAGCATGAGAGACCTGCAGGATGCGTTTTGATTGCTCCCACTTCTACAGCCATATTGGATTTCAGTGGAATTGTGCAAAATGGTCAAGTTCCCTATCTTGAGCAAAGGCCTTTTACTGTCACAGTCCTGGAAGCTCTGCATATCTTTTCCTTTAGTGTCTCGGGCAAAGGCCTCTTGCTCACCGGATCTTGGATGTTCCTTGCTGTCTCAGGCAAAGGCCTCTTGCTATTGCAGTCCTGGATGTTCAGCATATCATTTTCTTGGAGTCTGGCTCTACCTGCCAAGGTTCTCTCACTAAAATCACTAACTATTTCAAAAACAAGGTAAAAGCAGATTTAAGTTCACCATGGCAGTGCAGCTCTGGTCTGGGAGCCAGTAAGACGTAGGTGGTTGCTGTCACAGCTACAGTCTGATACTACAAAAAGAGTCTAGTGACCTCTTCTGTGTCCCCCCAGCCCCCCCCAAATCCTGGCTGCCTTATGATACAGTGTGGTCCTTTTGTTAGTGAGCTGCTTTCTTTCCGTCCTTTAGGCACTTAGCAGTTTCACTGTCCAGCGGTTTTTCCCAGAGACTAGTCCTGGGATCCCAGATCACCGCAGACTGTGACTGCAGCCATGAAATTAAAAGACGCCTGCTCCTTGGGAGGAAAGCGATGGCGAACCTAAACAGCATGATAAAAAGTAGAGACATCACCCTGCCAACAAAAGTCCGCATGGTCAAAGCAATGGTATTCCCAGTAGTCATGTATGGCTGTGAGAGTTGGACTATAAGGAAGGCCGAGCGCCGAAGAATAGATTCTTTTGAACTATGGTGCTGGAGAAGACTCTTGAGAGTCCCTTGGACTGCAAGAAGAACAAATCAGTCAATCCTCAAAGAAATCAACCCTGACTGTTCCCTGGAAGGCCAGATAATGAAACTGAAGCTCAAATACTTTGGCCACCAAATGAGAAGGGAGCACTCACTGGAAAAGACCCTGATGCTGGGAAAGATTGAAGGTCAAAGAAGACGGGGACGGCAAAGGATGAGATGGTTAGACAGTGTCAGCGATGCAACGAACATGAAATTGAGCCAACTTCGGAGGACGGCGGAAGACAGGAGAGCCTGGCGGGAGATTGTCCATGGGGTCGCGAAGAGTCGGACTCGACTGTGCGACTGAACAACAACAACAAGTCACAGCTACTGCAGGTAGCCTCCGGCCCATGTTACTCATTGATGCCTTGGATGTGTCTTGGCACGCGTCCATCTTTTATTGCCTACCCAAATGAAACCAAAGGAAGTGAGTGGCATGTACAAAACATTGGAGAAGCAGGCAAAGTCAAAAGGTGCTGTTAAAAGTGTAGCATTTAATTCCTTGTTGTGGTTAGGAGGTAAAATTCCAGGCACGTCTCAATGTTTGTCCTTGGGGAAAACGTTACTAATCACAAGGAGAGGTGCCAGCACAATAGCTGCCCAGGTTGCAGAGCTCAGTCATGCTAACTTAAGCACGCACAGCTGTTTTGCATGTGCAGCAGCCCAGTTTAAATATTATGCTGTTCCTGTGCAAAGTCACAAGGGTGAGTTCTCTAGCCCTGCCAGTATTGTGCTTAAACTGGGCCTGTGCTCTACCGTTTCAGTGGAAGCAGAAGTTACGTGTGTCTGTCTAAAAAGGTTCCCCCTTGGAAGATTCTTGAAAAACGTTGTCAGTGTTGCTTTACAATTTATAGAAGAGAACCTTGCATTAAAGTTTTAACTGCAACTCTTGGCTTTGCCTTTAGCTTCTTGGGTGCCTAAGTGGAACTAGGAGGAGTTGGTTGGATACCCAATGCCCCTTGTGACCTGTATGTACTGTGCCTTGTCTTTGTGCCTGGCTGTACCAGCTCAGATTCTCTTGGGTTGAAAATCATTAACTTCAAAAATGAAGGTTCAAGTGACTCAGCTAACAATATTTCTCAGTTCCCTTGTTGGAAACAATGGACACAGGTAGTCCAATTAGTTCACTTAATTTCCTGGTTTTCCTATTTATAAGGTACCTTGGAGCAGATTATAGTTTGAATAGTAAGCATTAACCTATAAAACTAAGCTTCTAATTAGCCACTTGCCTTGTTACCCACAGTCATAATTGCTGCCAGGTGATTAGGTACATGAGCTTTTGTGAGTCAAAAGCAAATCGATTATTATTTTTCTCTTGGGCCCAGTGACGACAAGCAGGCTGTTAACTTTTGCAGACTTATTCATAAACTGAGTTTTCTTTTCCATAACAAGATCTGGCAATAAAACCTCCAGACTGTGAACAAGGAGAAGATGATAGGCTTAGAAAATCACATTTTTCGTCTGGATAACGTGCTGATTTATTCCAGTGTCATGTTTCCAGAGGTATAGGCTTGTGGGAAATATGGTCAGAAAACTATTCCTAGAAGTGGTACAAAATCTTGCAGGATTAAAGCTAAAAGCCTTCAGTAAAGGGTCACCTTCCTTCTCATGGATTGCTTGTTCAGTTGTGTGCTACAATTCCAAAAGAATAAAGAATGTGGCATTGGATGAAGAATTTCCTACCCTAACGCCCGGGGGGGGGGGGGGGAGTTTCTGGCTGTTCTGGTTGCACAGACATGCGTGAAGGCTGTGAGCAGTTCTGGTGGAAATCTAGAAACACCAGAGGGGCTGAATTAGATTGGGGCAGGGGCATTCAGTACTCCACGCAGCTCCTTGGTAAATAAGGCAACCACCATAAGTGATGCAAAATTGCAAATTTATTCTGCAGTTTTTGCTCAATCCTCCTTGGTATATAATATTCACTGTATATAATATTCATCTTTTGCCTCAGGTTGCACACAGCCCTGATTGCAGAGCTCAGTCTTTCAGGAGGCCTGGATATTTTTTATGATAGCCAGTGTAGTGTGGTGTCTGACTAGGATCTCGGAGACCGAGGTTCGAATCCCCACTCTGCCATGGAAGCTTGCTGGGTGATCTTGGGCCAGCCTAGCCCATCTCACAGGGTTAGAATAAAACGAAGGAAAACTATGTGAGCTGCTTTTGGTCTCCATTGGGGAGGAAAAGGGGGTATAAATGAAGTAAAACAAACAATACTTTAAAATAATTCCAATGGCTGAAATTACTGACTGTGGCTTGGCACTGATGTAATATTTTTAAACATGCTGAGTTTACTTTATATTCTTCTGTTTGGACAAATGCTGTTGTTCAGGGGAAGCTGGATTTGGGATGGTTTGCTGTTAATCCATGCGCACGTAAGAAGAGCTGTGTTTGATCAGGCCAAGGGTGTATCTAGTACAGTGTTCAGTTTCCAGCAGTGCTCAAGCAAATGCTTTGTGGTGGTGTCATTTCCCGGTTCATCTCCAGTATCTGATATGCAGCGAGAAAGAGAGCGCCTCTGTCTTAAAGCAGTTCGATTTAGCTGTCCGTGCACATGTGCTTTTTTTTTTTTTAAAAAAATCTTTTTATTTAGTTTTTCAGGCTTGGGCCTCGCTACGGAGCCGGGGG